AACAGCTTTTTTTTATATTTCACAGCTTTGACTTAATGAACTGATATTCACTGAGTACCTACTGTGAACAATGTTCTTCCAGGGCTGCTGAGTGTGTGACATTGACCCTAATAGAAAAGGGGACATTTTAAGAAATTATTGTCTCAGTGCAGAGTCACCAGGCTGAAATGAAATCTCTTATTTTATCTTGGTGATTTTGTCTTTTGCTTCTTTTTTATTTCTGATACGTAGGACCACCTTTCTTCTTTACATTTGATTTTTGGTATCCCTAATGTTTATGCTTTTACATTTTAATTATTCCATATTTCAGCCAAAGATCACATGAGTCCCTGGAAATGTATAATATAGCATTATCACTGGTGATTTTAGACTTTGCCTACTCTTAGATATTGGCATACCATTTCCTTACAACATTGGTGAAAGATAGTACATGCATTACTAGGGGAAAAACATTCTGTGTATTGACAGAATATAGTAGATATCCTAGGTTCTTTCACATGGAGCAAATCGTAATTGACCCAATGGAAAAAGACTCATGAGATGAAGTGGTCTAAGCAAAGGAAACCATGACCTTAGTTGCCCCTCATAGGGTGTCATTAATTCATACCAGTTCTGTTTTCTATTTCGTGCTGAAAGTGAAGGCCAATGGTTTTGTGTGTGTATTGTCACAGGTTCAACTGAATTGGGATAAAACATGTGGAGATTGCTTCTGTGGACTGGTTGAAGGGGAAGTATTCCAGTCTGGGCTGTATTTGGGCTGCCAGGCCCTTGCCCAAGCAGGCTAACTAGTAGCCAAGATACTTTGGGAAATTGAGCATCATTTATTTACCCATCTAGTGCCTTTCTTAATAACATAAAGCATTGAATACATGACTCATAACATCCTACTGAAGAAAGGAAATGGCAGATAGTGTTATATGTTACTGGTTAATCATGGGGAAACTGGATGGGGCTTGAGCAGAGTTACACAATGCCTTAGTGTCTGGCCTGGGAATGAAGCCTGAGTTTGCCGCTTGCTGTCAGGACTGCCGACAGCATTGTGTTTCGCATTGTATTGCAGTGAAAAGGGCTTACTCTTCACAATGCAGGAGCTTCTGTACGAGACAAACACAATGAACTTTAGTACAGTATAGTCTAGAAGCCAAAATGAGTAATTTTAAGGAAATTGACTATAAGATCCAAAGCTTCATTAAGTTTTAAAAGCCAAAAAACAAATGAAAACTTTGTACAGTGTTAGGAACTGACTAAAAAAAAAAAAAATGGATATTCTTTCTCCATTTGAAGTGGCACACTCTTAAAAGTTTTATTTTGTTGTCTCACAAACTGACACTTTTTCTGTTAACCATGGGATTTACTTATTTCAAATACACATTTGCAGAGTTCTTTGATCTATTTAAAAGATTCTGCCTTGTCATAACTGTCAATTTAACATTTAAATGCCTTTTTTTCCATAGCTTGCGATTTGGGAAAGAAATTTATTTTATTCTGATTTCATTTGGGTTCTTCCAGAATAGTTGAAACTACAGAACCTAGATTTTAGGAAAGCAGTAAGAGTGTGCAAAGAGAAATTGTGAGAATCAATACATTCTATGTGATTGGAACCATGAAGGAACAAGGACATCATTGGAACAAATAGAAAGAAAGGTAGAATATCGTTTTTAAATTGTCTTATGTCAAAAGTATCTTAGGTGACCTGGAATAAACTAACAGATATGTAGGTATTAATGAGCTTAGTTTGTTAGTTACTTTTTCATTGGTGGGCTAAAATACCTGACATGTACAAATCAGAGGCAAAAAGGTTTATTTGAACTCACAGTTTATAGAGTTTTCAGTCTGTAGTTAGCTAGCTCCAAGGTAAGACTTCTTGGCAGAGGAACATGATAGCCAAGAAACAGTTCATGGCATGGCAGATAGGAGGCGGCAACCTTTCTTCTGCTTTCTCTTTTATTTCATTCAGGCTACAAGCCTATTGGATAATGCCACCCACTCCCGGGTATGCTAAACCAATCAATGGACGAATCCAGTTATCACACCCTTAATCCAGGGTCGCACATCCATGATTCAGCCATTCCCCAAAGCCTCACCTGTGAGCACAGGAGGCTTTGTGAGAACATCTAAATACAAGCCTTAATGTATAGGACATTTTACACTGCATTATAAAAAGAGAGGAAAAAAAAAACAGAGTTGTGGAACTTTTGGCCAAAGCATGTTCCTAAATAATTTAAACAATCAGTCACATAATTTCATTTTGTACGTAAGAGTTATAATAGTTTGGGCCCGAATGGTTGAGTCAGGCCACCTTTTCTCCAGGACACAGTCTAGTAGAATTCTGGCAGAGAAGCTGAGCAAGAATGGAGGTCTCCAGGGCAGGGAAAGGTACTTCCCCAGTTACCTTGTAGAACAAAACAAAACAAAACATCCTAGTAAGAGGAACTGTGCGTTTACCATTTTACCTGAATATAGAAGACCTCTCCTAAATGTGAAGAGCTGCTAGCCATTGGCCATCTTCAAGGGGATATTATGTGTACATTCGTAAATCTGTCTTTGGGTAAAACTCTTTATTATGAATCTAGGAGACTTTTTTTTCCATGGGTAACAAATGTTTGTGAAAAGTTGGGCAATATGAGTTAGCTCTTACATGACTGTAGGATGTGATATGTTGGGATCTAAGAGACCATTCACAGTTATCAGTAATCATTTAGGAGAAAACATCGGAACTAAATCATGGCCAATGAGAAGTGACTAAATGAATGAATAGGAAGAGGAGTTGATATATGAAGGCAAGCTGAAGATATATGGAGATATATAAAGATTCCTCAGGCTTGAAAACACTGAGAGCAAATGCGGTGGGAGTGTAGTAAATCAATGAAGAATATGGATCATAAAAAATGGTTTGCCAGAATGTAGTAGAACCTTTGAGAAGCTGAGGAAAAGTGAGTTGGTGGGGTGGGAGAGCTCTAATCTACCAAGAAAGTAGATCCTGTATATCAAAATTTTTCTTTTGGGAATCAGGCTGCCTTTTGGCCTTAAAGTGAAGGATTCCTCTGACTTTGATACTGTTTTCTTGAAGTATGGGCAGCCAGGGGGTATAGATTAAGCCCCTTGTTAGCTTTTAGATTTTCTTTTCTTAGGCCACACTTACATGCCATTAGAGCTTGGCATCAATTGCTGAAGCAATCAGGGTCAGAACAGACTGCCCTGAGAAAGAGGTGGTTAAGTAGAGACTTGCAAACTGATGAGGACCTGACTAACGCAGGAGATGAAGGAAGAGGGAACAGCATAGCAAAGTGCCTCACATAAGAGAGAGTGGTGGGCAGGAGGCTGTTGGCCTGTCTGGAGCAGTTCTTGGAGGCTTTTCTGGACTGTGATAAGAATTTGGACCCAAGAGCAGGTAGGAGTAACTGAAGTGGCTTAAACAGATAAAAATCAGGCTTTCTCTTAATAAGCAGGCGTGGCTGCAGGGCAACAGTAAATTTGCAACACCTTGTAGGAGAACACTGATATCTAGATAATGATTGCCTGGGCTGAAGAGAAGCAAGGTGGATTCTAAGACTTGTTTCAAAGGTTGTATGGATCACCTGGTTGACTGGATATGAAAAATAATCATACTTGATTTATAGAAGTGGAACAGTCACTTATGACTCAGATTTTATTTGAGAAAAATCATCACAGACCCTTTGTAGTTTTCATCTGTCATGATTTCCAGATGACGCAGAAGTATGTCTGCCTTCTTTTTTCTTGGCTTCCCTTTCTCTTTTTCTTTGTCTATGAATCATTTAGGGTTTAAATATTTCAGGCTCTACAAAGGTGGCACACAGTTGATCCACAGTCAGTGGTTAAGTGGAGAAATCACTTTGTAAATGACATACTATTTCCCAAATTTCCCTGTCTTTACTCTTGTGGAATAAACAACTTTGTGCAGTAAGGAAGCTACAGTACAGTTCACAGTACCCAGGGTCAGCTAATGTGATGCAGAATTTAGCACAGGCCAGGAAGACCATGATATGTACATAGACTCCATTTAATGATTTTAAGTCCTTTATTTTGGCTAGGGATATTCACACATCCCAGTTACTCAAGAGGCTGAGGCAGGGAGATGGCAAGTTCAAGCTTAGCCTGGCTAATTTAATAAGATTCTGTCTCAGAAATAAAATAAGAAACCAAAACACAACAACAACAAAGTGCTACTTTTAAAAATTGAAATCAAAGAGTTGTAAGTCTAGAGCAAAGAATGTTCATATGGACTCCTTTGCTCCACTTTACCAGCCATTGTTAACATTTTACCATACAGTGCTTGCTTTGTCACATTCCTTACCAGATGAAGTTAAGAGATTTAGAATTTTTCTGAGCCAGTTAGTTATAGACACCAAGACCTCATGAGTTCTTAAGTGTGTTTTCTCAGAACAATGATTTTCCCTTACATAACACAGTACAGTTACTTCAGGAAATGTAACCTTATACAACACTGTTATCTAATATGCAATCTATATTCAGTCCTCACTGTTGTCCCAGTAATGTCATTGATGGCACTTTTCCATCCTGATCAGGATCTAATCTATTATACAATGAATTTCATATTGTATTTTTTAATCTTTATCTTGGAGAAGTTTCTTAATCTTTCTTTGACTTTTAAGACATTGATATTATAGAAAATAGGTCAGTTGTTTTCTAGGATTGTTCTTACCTTGGATTTGCTTGGTTTCTTCCTGGTGAGGTTCATGGTGTGTATTTTGGCTGGAATGCTACATTATGATGCATACTCAATATGGTGTACCTGCCCTTGCAGGAAGAGGGGAAGAAAAGGGGGAAACATGTCTGTGACTGGAGATGATAACTTTAGTACTTGGCTAAGGTCATGTCATCCTTGTTTTTTCATTCAGAAGTTACTGTTTTCTTGTAATTCATAGATTACTTGTCTGTTAATACTTGTTGCAGACACTTTAAATATTATATGTCTCCACTGTCCTATTTAGAATCACATTTTTCCTCTCTCTCGGCAGTGTTTTAGAGCACTTTGCTGCAAGGGACCACCACCTGCACGACCAGAGTACGATCTGGTATGCATAGGCCTCACAGGTTCTGGCAAGACAAGTCTGCTCTCAAAGCTGTGCAGTGAAAACCCTGAGAATGTTGTGTCAACCACAGGTGAGTACAGTGCTGTCTGTCCCTTCCTCCTCAGCCCCAACCTTTCTAATTTCTTGTGCTACTTATGTAACTGCTCCTCTCCTTTCTATTTGTAATTTAGGGTGTCAGTCAGTTTATTAATTTAAATTTTAAATATCCTGCTTTTTCAAAAAAGATTGGAGGGGGGCTTACCGGCATTAATTTGCTGTATCCCCTATCCCTCTTATTGAACATTCCAGTGCCACAGAATAAATCAAGAAGATATTAATACAGACTAATCCTGATGTCTGGAACTCTGTTTCTCTGGCATAATGGATTCATGTTAGACCCACTAAGTGCTCTCTTCCTGTGAAGTGTCATTGTAGCCTGCTTTTATTCACATACTCAATAAACAACATCATTGGAATAGTCTGAATTTTTTTCCTTCCTCATTTTTCACCTGGACAGTAAGAGCACATTCATCAGCTTTACCATTGCTGCTTGCTGGGGCAGCTTACTCATTCTGAGACAGTAGTTTCCAGTCAGGGGAGATTTTGTCCTCATACTCAGTGGAAAATATTTGGTAATGCCTGGAGACATTTTGGCTGTCACAATTAGGAAAGGGTGGTAGTGGCTTATAGTGGGTAGAAGCCTATAATGGTACTAAACATCTTACAGTACACACATCAACCCTCATAACAGTGAAGTGGCCCAAAATGTTGTCAGTGCCAAAGTTAATAAAGCCTGTCCTGGGTTTTTTGTCACTCCCTGTCTTAGTTACTTTATGGTCGTCGCTGAGACAAAATACCTGATGCCCAAATTGGGAAAGGAAAGGTTTATTTCTTACAGTTTTTGGAGGTTTCAGTCCACACTCAGTTGGCTCCAAGACAGGCGGGCATGCCTGGACCGTAGTTCATGGCTGCCGCCCACAGTGAGCTCGAACCAGCAAAGAGAAAGACACACGTTTTTTCCTGCCATTACATCACTTCCTGGCTCCACCCCTATGTGGGTGGAGCACTGACAACATCAATCCAAGCACTATACAATGAACCATCACAAATGAACAATGCAAACTCATGAGGCCTGGGGGACACAAACATAAACCATGACACTCCCCAAATGCTGCTTCTTTCTCTTCTGACAGTGACATAAGAAAGAAGAGTATAAATTTGATAATATTGGAAGAATAGTTGTGGGAAAAGAGGATTACAGTTGCTATGGGAGAACTGATAAGCAGGGGCAGACATTTTGTGGGAAAGTTGAAACAACTGTGTATCGAGCCAGATTTTTGAGCATCTACTGTGTGCTAGGTCCAATTTTAGACACTGGGGATAAGCACTGATCCCAGTACTCATTCTCCTGGCCACACAGACCTTCTGTTCATGTCTAGACATATACAAAAGTGAGAGCATGGTGGAAAGGCGGTATACACAATGAAGTTTTTTGCATCGGCTCTGAAGTTCCTTGGCAAGATAGCAAAGAGAGACAAAAGAGTAGGGTGGGTGGAGAGACTTATATGTCAGAGGGAAAGCTTGGTTGAGGTGAAGAGGTGTGAGAGTGAGTCCTCTTGGAAACCACATTTCTGCATAACTGCGTTGTGTGTTAGTAGAGTACCAGGAGAAAGGGCATAAGGAAGGACAATGGCTGAATCTTGGCAAACTGTTGATACTCTTTCCAGAAATCTGAGCTTTCTTTGTAGATAGTATAGAGATATAAAGGTATTTTAAGTAGAAACTGTGCTCAGGTGTTCATTTGAGAAGAGATAAGCTGGCTGCAATATGGAAGCTGTTTGAGACAGAGAATGAGCATAATGGTGCAACCGAGGTAATGAAAGGCCTTAGTGAAGTATACCATAATGTCTCTTTTTATTCAAAGTAGATATTCATTTCATCACACATAATACAGTTGATTCTTATAAACTGTTTAGAAGTTTGAGGTATTTATAATCTTCTACATGTACACCTATCCTTTCTGCATTAGAAGGAAAAACAAAACAGAACAAAACAATATAATAGAAAAACAAGAAATAAAAAAGACAAATAAATAACAGTAGCAAAGAGCCCAAAGCAATGACAATATAGGCCTTCAAAACAAGGTGGTAGGAACATAACTAAGATTGTTATTTTACATCGTGATCTTCAAAAGAGTTCCTCAGGTCACCAGACACAAACATGCAAAATTGTTCCAATCCTATGAATGTTAACTGTTTTGTTCCAAGAATAGAATTTGTAGTACAATCATCTTGCTATCCTATATACAAATTTAGATATTTTTTCTTTTCCCTTCCTTTTTTTCCCTGAGATACTATTTTCTTCTCTTTTGAGCAGATTCTTACCTTTTCACCGTATTTATTGAGGATTTTGTATCTTATGTACTCTTACCAGTCCTTACACTAGGGAGACTATACAGTATTTACACATGTGAGTTTAATGTATTTCACTTACGAGTATGGTTTCAAGTTGCATGCACTTACTTATAAATATCTTAATGTGATCATTCTTTATAGCTGAGTAGTATTCCATTGTATAAAAATACCACATCTTTTTTTATCCATTCCTCAGTTGAAGGACATTTAGGTAGTTTCCAAGATCTGGCTATTACAAATTGTGCTGCTATAAACATGGATGTTCATATATCACTGTGATATGATGTCTTCAATTCTTTTGGATCAAATCGGAGTTCCAATCCAAGATTTTGAGGAATCTCCAGACTGATCTCCACAGTGGTTACATCAGTCTTTACTCCTACCAACAGTGCAGAAAAGTTCTTTTTTCCCCTGCAATCTTTCTAGCATTTGTTGTTGGTAGTTTTCTTGATCCTCACCATTCTTTCTGGAGTGAGGTAGAATCTGAGTGTGGTTTTAATTTGCATTTCTCAAATGACCAGTGATGGTGAACATTTTTTCATGTATTTATTTGCCTTTTATATTTCTTTATCTGCGAACTGTGTGTTCATCTCAGATGCCCATTTTTGGATTGGTTCTTTGAATTTTGAGGGTCTGATTTTTTTTTAATTCTTTATATGTTCTAGACAAAAGTTCTTAGTCTGAGGACAGTTGAATAAAATTTTTTCAAAATCAAAATCATGGGTTTCCTTTTTACTCTGTTAGAGATTTCTTTCAACATGCAAAAACTTTTTAATAAGATGAGATCCCAGGGGCTGGGGATTTAGCTCAGTGGCATAAGCTCCTGCCTTGCAAGCAGGCAGTCGTGAGTTTGATCCCTGGTACCGATAAAAAACGAAAAAGACCAAAAAAAAAAAAAAAAAAAAAAAGATGAGATCCCAGTTATTGATTCTGGGAAGTATTTTCTGTGTGGTTTGATTTTTGTTGATAAATTCTCTACCCCTCTGTCTGCAAGATTTCTGCCTACTTTGTTTTCTAGTAGATTGTTTCTGCTTTAATATTTAGATCTTTGATCCATTTTGACTTTAGCTTAGTACATAGTGATAGGTATGAGTCTAGTTTTAGGAATATGGAAAGCCAGTTTTTTCAGCACCATTTATTAAAGAGACTATCCTTCTTCCAGTGAATATGTTTGGCCCCTTTATCAAAGATAACGTAGCTGTGTTTGTAGTTGCAGTTGTATCTTCTAATCTATTCCACTGATCTTCAGGTCTGTGTTTATTCCACTACCATGCTGACTTTATTACAGTAGGTTTGTAGTATAAAATCAAGTCAGGGAATGTGATGTCTCCTGCTTTGCCTTTGTTGCTCAGAATTGTCTATTCTAGGTCTTTTCTGGTTCCAGATGAATTTTAGGAATGATTTCTCTTCATCTGTGAGGTATGCCAGAGGTATTTTGATTGGGTTTGCATTAAATCTGTATAACAATTTTGGGAGAATGGCCATTTTCACAATATTTGTTCTTCCTATCCTTGAACAAAGGATGCCTTTCCATTTTCTGAGATCCAGTTCAATTTCTTTTTTTAGGTATTATAATTTTTCCTAAATAGATCTTCTACTTCTTTTGTTATATTGATTCCTAAGTATTTCATTTTTGGGGGATGCTATTGTGAAGGGTGTGGCTTCTCTTATTCCTCTCTTAGTGATTTTGCTGTTTGTGTATAGGAATGCTGTTGATTTTTGAGTATTGACTTTGTATCCAGCTACATTACTAAATTTACTTATTGTACATAGGAGTCTTTCAATGCAGTTTTGGGGGTCTTCTATGTACCACGTTATCTGCAAATAATGATAAGTTAACTTCTTCTTTTCCTATCCTTACTCCTTTTATTTCTCTCTCTTGTCTAATTGCTCTGGCTAGTATTTCCAGTACTATAATTGAATAGGATTGGTGATAATGGACATCCTTTCCTTGTTCGTGATTTTAGAATGAAGGCTTTCAGTTTTTGGCTGCTTAATATGATGCTGGCTATTGGTTTGTTATAGATGACTTTTATCATATTGAGGTAAAGACTATTTAGTCCAATTTTCTGTAAGGTTCTTACCAGGAATGAGTGTTGGACCTTATCAAAAGCTCTTTCTGCATCTATAGAAATGATCATGTGATATTATTTTTGGCTTTATGGATCTGGTGGATTACATTTATTGATTTGCTTTCACTTTACTATCCCTGCTTTCCTGGGATGAATCCCACTTGGTTGTGGTGTATAATCTTCTTGATGATTTTTTGCATTATTTGCCAGTATTTTATTGAGAATTTTTGCATCTATGTTCATTAGGGGGATTGGCCTATAGTTCTCTTTTTTTTGGTTGGGTCTTTCTCTGGTTTTGGTATTAGAATAATACTTGCTTCCAGAAATAAAGTAAGGAGAATTGCTTCCCTTTCAATTTCACTGAAGAATTTGAGGAGTGTCACTATTAAGTTTCTTTGAATTTTTGTAAAATTCTGCAGTGAATCCATCTGGACCTGGGCTTTTCTTTGTTGGTAAAGTTTTAATTACATTTTCAATTTCATTAATTGAAATTGGGTTATTAAGCAGTTTTACTTCTTGATCCAGCTTTGGTAATTCATATGTTTCTAGGAATGTATCCATTTCATCTGTGTTATCAAGCCTATGAGAGTAGAGATTTTTGAAAT